TCTAAGGGAAGCACCTGCTGCCCCTGGCTTTGGGCAACTTGAAATAAGGTCACATTTTAGGGCTTGAGGGGCAGGGGAACATTGCATAGGACAAGAGAAACTTTCTCAGGTCCTGTTCCAAGAGTAGTGGTTACATCTCTCCGCGATTATCTTAGATGAGTTAAGAAACTCCTCTAAAGTTTCTCCTATATGGAAAATTAGCAAGGCTTTATCTCCCTGGTGATGATGAGATGCTCAGGTCTGAACTTTTGTTCACAGGTGCATACCATCTGGGGATCCCCTCCAGCATGGTGCCACCCTTATCTACCCAAGTTGTGTCTGCAGATAGACATGCAAATAGGCATGAGAACCTCACCAGGGGAAGGGCTTGTGACCAGAGTTACTAAGAGTCAGATCCTGGGCCCTGGCAATGCCAATAATCCAGGTGTATCTGATGCTTTTATTTAATTATTCTTTAAAAATAAAAACTCGGGAGTCAGATATCGGGGTAAGACCTGAACGATCAGAGAATCGGCAGAGAAGTGACCAATAACTTCTCCCCCCACCCCTCCCTCTCTCTCCCCCCACCCTCTCTAAGCCCCACCCCGCTACTTCCTGTGTCTATCTGTCCTCAGTCTTCGAAAGCCTCTCTGGTTAATTTTGGTCAGCTAGAAGCTAGCTCCACCCTCTGATTCAAAGCAAACTTTATTATCAGTCTCAGGAGTGTCAGAATATGATCAAAATACCACACAACATGTAGCCACTTGTCCTTAATAAGTTAATTAAATAGTTAATAGTAAAAAGCAAGAAAAGGAAATTCATTCAATGTGGCCACATTGGGAAGAGGGCAAAGAGGTCCAGGAAGGGCCCTCTTCCCCCACAAGAAGTCCTCAGAGTCCTACCTCGAGGGCGGGGGTTAAACAGAAGACGGGAGACATGTGTAATTAGGCAGTCTTGGTCAAGGTGCAGCCCTGCTCATCAAGGAGGCATCACTGTCTCAGCTCCAGTCTCTGCTGCCAGATGAGTTGACAAGCTTTGGCACTGTAAAGTGTCTCCTCACCCCCAGAGACAAGCTCCCCCTCTGCCAGGTACTGGGCTGCCAGCCTCTTTTCCCAGCCCTATATTTCTTGGGGGAAAAGTCCAACTATCTACAATGCGTTGCCTCTCTTTCTGGTTCCTTTTCCTCTCAGGAAAAGAGCTGGGAACCAGCAGATGCCAGGCCTCTCCTACATGGTAAGAATGAATAGATCTAGCCATCTTAGTCAGGTTTTCCAGTGTGTGTGTGTGTGTGTGTGTGTGTGTGTGTGTGTGTGTGTGTGTGTGATCAAGAATGTATCTATAGCCATCTCTGCCTCCTCTCACAAGGCCCTCAAGGCTCTTCCATCATGGCTGCTTCCTCAGCCTGTGACGTGAAGTACTTACTTCCGGGAAGCTGAGAAAGCAGCCCATCTTCCTCAGACATATGGAGTCTTTCCTGCTACTCAGGGTTGGAGCTCCGAGAGCCCAGAAGGAGAGAGGGAGTCATAGAGGGAAGGGTGGTGGTTAGCATAGTGGCTTTTCTGTCAGCCTTTTCATTACTGTGACAGAATGCGTGAAACAAATGACCTCACGGAGGACAGAATTGAGCTCACAGTCCTTGGCAAGGTTGGTTCTGTGCCCGTGGTGAGGCACAGCACAGATGGGAGTGTGGAGAGGAGGGGTGTCTTCACTGTGTAGTAGAGAACATAGGAGGGACCAAGTTGAGTATTTAAAGGTACACCTTCAGTGACCCACTTCCTCTTGTGTAGGAGTGCTCTGTCAGCATGTGTGTCTGCGGATCCCAATACAGATGGTTGAGAACCACCATGTGGTTTCTGGGAATTGAACTCAGGACCTCTGGAAATGCAGACAGTGCTCTTAACCTCTGAGCCATCTCTCCATCCCTGCAGTGACCTACTTCTTGCACTGAGGTATCACCTTCCATAGATTCCAAAAATATCAACACCAGCTAGGGACCAAGCATTCAGCATGTGAGTCAAGGCGACTACTTCATATTGACACTGTTCCATATGGGGCAGAGACAGCTGCTGAACCGGTTGCTGTCTGTGCCCCTCTTCTGTGATGGTCATAATGACCTCTCCACATAAGTAATATTTCTAGAGATGCTACCTGTACAAGCTTAAGGGCCTAGGAATGGGTCTAGCCCGGTCTCAGTCATACAGATAGCATAGTGGTCATTTGGCTGACTGTTAGGGCTATTTAGACTACTAACCACTTCCAGTCCTGGTTGTAGGAGCTTGACATGGCCTGGCCCAACAGATAACACAGATCACCAGGTTATTAATCACTTCCAATTCCCAGCTTTCTGGAAAAACAGGTTATATGTCCTCCCTTTTGAAAGGGCAGTCCTGGGTGCTTAATATTCCTGGTTTTCTTGGAGATCTGTGGGTGCAAGGACCTTCATGCTGTATCAAGCAGACTCAACAATCCAAGAGATGTGGACAGTCTGAGGCTTCCCTGAGCAACAGAGGAAACAGATCAGGAAGGGGATTTCTAGCACTCTCTCAGAGAGCGGCAGAATCTGAAGCAGCAGAGACGAGGGAGGGGCAGAGTCCTGAGGGGTACAGCCCACACTTCCCATCCACTCCTGGTTACTGGCTCCATCCTGCCCATGGGGGACTATGACATACCCTGGATGAATGAAGCCTTTGTCAGCCTTGAGTGCCTTCAGTTTTAAGATTCTTGCAACTAAAAAAGAGTCTTGATTCATGCAGACATGGCACCCAGCTGACTCTACTGCTCCAAACAGTCTTCCGACCCACACCAGCACTGAGTCTGCTGGTGGTTCCCAGGATGGCCTCTGTGGCCATGTTCTCAAGTGCTCCTGCTTTGAAATGAGTATTTATCCTCAGCCACTTCTGCTGACTTGGAAGGCAGTGGGATACCAGATTCAATAAAACGCAGGAGCTACGATGGAAATTCAGTCTGAAGTTTAAGAAGGGCCAAGCCATGGCTTTGTTAAAAGGATTAACCTGGCCTCTGCCCCATAACTTCAGTTATTCAAGAGAGAGACATGGCAGTCAGCCCCCAGATGGGAGGCACCTGTGTTTGTAACTGATCGTGTTGCTTACGCAAGCTGGAGAGCGGTCCATCCCAAGCCTCCAGGAAGTGCACTAAAATCTAGGCCTGGTTCCATAAGTCACATCTCACTACTAGAAAAATCTTGTTACTTGAGAAGGAAGTGCACTCTGTTTCCTTCCCTGCCCCACCTTCAGCCACCTGGTTGTGCCCAAGGTCAAGCACTGGCAGATTTTGTGTCTGGCAAGGAACCTCTTCCTGGTTCCTAGGAGACCATTTTTTTCTCTATAGGAGCAAGAGGTCTCTCTGGGGTCCCTCTGGTACAGTGGTTCCCAACCTTCCTAATGTTGTGACCTTTTAATACAGTTCCTTATGTTGTGGTGACCCCTAACCATAAAACTATTTTTGTTCCTATTTCATGACTGTAATTTTGTTACTGTTACAATTTGTAATATAAATACCTGATATGTAGGATACCCAATAAGCGACCCCTGTGAAAATGCTGTTTGATCCCAAAAGGATCTTGACCCTACAAGTTGAGAACCACTGCTCTAATAGGTATTAATCCTATAGTCTTCCTGCCCTAATCGCCTCCCAATAAATTTATATTAAGTATTTTCCTTGTTGCTGTGACCAAATAAGTGGCAAAAGCAATGTAAGGAGCAGGGGTTATTTTGGCTCACAGTTGTAGGGTTCAGTCCATCATGGTAGGATGCCATGGTGGCAGGAACTTGAGGTCACATTGTGTCTGTAGTCAGGAAGCAGAGAGGGAGAGATGAAGGCTGGCACTCAGCTCGATTTCTCCTTGGTATCCAGTCTGGGCCCTCAGCCCATGGGATGGTGCCACATACCCTTAGTGTGGGGTTTTCTCACTTTACCTTCTGTAATCTAGAAGCTACCTCACAGACATGCCCAGATTTGTTTCTATGGTGATTCTAGATCACCCAGACAAGTGGACAGTATCAGCCATCACAAGCCCCGATTCCAGATTGCATCATGTTGAGGAACAGCCTTCAGCATATGGACACAGACATCCAGCTATGGAATCGTCAAATACCAGACTTAAGGCCCTGTGCATTTGGTGGGCAAATGGATGATCCCAGCTGCCAGCCACTTCTGAGTTTGAAGCCAGCAATTCTTGTGAGACTTATTTTCCTCACGAAGCCAGCCCAGTGTTTTCAGAGAAGCTAAGCTTGGTGCTCGGTTACATGGAAACAGCTTCCTGATTGGAGCTGAGGCCTTTCTTTGGTTTGACCACACCTCTAGTTTTCCTTCTGAATGGAAATAGCCAACTAATTTGGCAGGAGACCTTAGCCACTGGATGGGGCCCTTACAATTTCTGGGAAGGAGAATAGCATCTTCTAGTGTTTTTGTGGTCTCTTTTCGGATGCTGTATTTTCCGTTGGTAATTTTGCTTTTCTGTGCCCTTTCAGCCTTGGGGAGAGTAGTGGGAAATGAGCGCTGATGTCATCTGTGGCGTTTCCAAAGTCCCCAGCCTTTCCCTCCTACACATTAGTCACACCGTGAAGACACTTTACATATGCTACCTTAGTCTTCCAGCAAGTCCATGAAAGAAGAATTAATATACCTACAGTGTAAGGAATGTGAGCATGGGTCATACCCATAATCACAAGCACTTGGGAGGCTGAGGAGAACTGGCCTGAGTTTCAGCCTTGATTACAGACTAATAACTTGTCTACAGAAGAAACTAAGGCCTCAGGTTGGATTCTGAAATATGACCTCACTTGGCCTATTGCACACAGGGAGGTTGACAAGGTTAGTCTAGAAAGTCAACACTGTAAGATTAAACTTTCAGGAACCATCTCTTTAGTTTGTTACCAGAGTGCCGACACTTGTCACACCTGTGGGAAGGGAGTCTCCTCCCAGCCCTCTTTTCCGGATTCCTAGCATTTGTTTGTGGGGGTGGGATAACTAACACCCCCGTTTATCCTAGTTCTCGAGATCTGTGTTCTTCACTATAGCAAAGGTGACTTTGTGATTAAGGATATTGAAATCACTCTGGATTATCTGATGGGTGCAGTGTACCCCAAGTTCTCTGTAAGAAGGTCTCAGGAGGGTCAGAAGGCACAAGGGAAGTGGCCACGGAAGCAGGAGTGGAACTGATGAGCATTGAAGTCTGTGGAGGAAGAGGTCAGAGCCAAGGAAACCAAAGGGCCTTTAGAAGCTAGAGATGTGAACAGATGGTTTCTCCTAGTGCCTGCAGAAGGAACGAGCTCATCAGACACCTAGGAGCTAGGTCTTAGCTCCTAGGATCCGTTTTGCACCGCCTGCCTCAAGGACAGTGAAGTAGTAAGTTTGTACAGGGAACTGGAATGGGCTGTGCTTATGCTGTGAATTCCTACTCTGCCCAGGTATCCATCTCTCCATCCAGATGAACGCTCTGCTCCCCCTGTCTACTTAGCGGATCTACTTTGAGAATGTGCTCTCTTTCTGTGCATGTGTGCCTCAGGAGATGTGAGGGGAGTGCACATTGGTGAGTGGCTAGAAGGAGGATAAGATGATTGCAGTCAATTGTGGGAATACATGTCTATAATCCAGCACCGAGGCTGAGGCAGGAGGATTGTGAGTCCAAGACCTGAGCTCCAGTACATGGTGAGATATAGTTTCAATAGGAGAAGAGGACTGTAGCGTTCAATAGGCCAGGAAGTGCTGAACTGAGGAGGGGCTTAGTGAACAGCACTGATTTTTGTGAGCTATGCATTCTTATCCCTCTCTTTGAGCTAATAGATACATTACCCTTTCCCAACCAAAGGGTAGCACCGTTTCTGTCATTACACTTTAGCCCTTGGCTCAGAAAAGAAAGCAGGAGACAGGGCTGGGTTAGTTAGAGTTATTGTTCCCGGCAGCAGAGTGGGTGGACCCTGGGCAGTGTTGGCTATTGACCAGGGTTAGGCCAGCTCTGTCTCTTCTACACAGTGCTGCAGGCTCTCACAGCAGAGGGAAGGGAATGCATGATACGGTTTATTTTAATTCATTTTAGTGTATGAGTTTTTTCTTGCCTTTGTGTGTGTTGGTGTACCACACATGTGCCTGATGCCCACGGAAGCCAGAAAAGAGTGTTAGATGCCCTAAAACTGTAGTTACAGACCACAGTTTATGAGAGCCCATATGTGTGCTGAGAAATGGACCCAGGACCTCCGCAAAAGCAGCCAGTACTCTTTTTTTTTGTGTTGTTAGATTTTATTAATTTTGAACTCTTTTTTTTTAATTAATTTATGTTTTACATTCCAATCCCAGTTCCCCCGCCCTCTGCTCCTCCTGATCCTCCCCCTCTCCCCCCTCCTCCAATCTGCTCCTCAGAGAGGGTAAGACCTCCCCTAGGAAGTCTAAGTCTGTCCCATCATCTAGTCGAGGCAGTACCAAGGCACCTCCCCGAGGCTAGGCTGGGCAAGGTATGTCTCCATATAGAATGGCAGCCAGTACTTTTAACCTCTGAGCCATCTTTCCAGTTCCCACATTAGGACTGATTATCTGTCTGTCTGTCTGTCTGTCTGTCTATCTATCTATCATCTATCTATCTATCTATCTATCTATCTATCTATCTATCTATCTATCTAGAAAGGGCTTTACTATGTAGTCCTGCAACTCACTATGTAGACTGTGTTGGCCTAGAACTCAACTCACAGAGATCCTCTTGCCTCTTGATTTTCAAATGCTAGGATTAAAGATGTGTACCCCTATGTTTAATGGATCTTAAACCCATCTCAGACCTCTTGATTCTGATGTCATACTAGATTTTGGGACAGGATAATTATTTTTCCTTATTAGACAAAAGGCTCCCCCCAAATATTAACCATTATAGTGGCTTTATGAGCTTAATCAATAAAGCACAAAATTTAGGACCTTTGTGTATGCAGACAGAACCAACTGATTCCTGTGGTTAATTTCTGGTTAAGTTCCTTTAGAGTATGTATCAGTCTTGATAAAAGGTATTTCATAGTTTCTCACTATTAACTATTAGAAGTAACGATGAAAAGTATTTTATGAACCCTCAATCATACACCAATTTCAGTAAATTACAGTTTATCTTGACTCCTGTTCAGCGCGTCACGCCTTGTTTTATGTGATATCCCATTTTACTGCATGATAATGTGTAGCATTTAGGAGCTGATGGAAAAAGTGGAGGATGATGGACTTTGCCTAGAAAGCTTTTGGAATTAAGTCTATTCGAAACAGTAAAGTGGGTCTTGCACAGGATGTTTCTCCATAGCCCTTGGGCTTGATAACCTCTGGGTCAGCAATGCGGTTATTTTATAACATACTCTGACCAAAGCTAATCTTTCTGATGGTTATTTTTGTACTGTGTTTTACTGGCACCATTCAAATTGTGAGGGAACTTGTGAATTATTAACTGCAGTGTAGGGATGGGCATTAGAGGGCCATCAAGAGGCTCAGAAGGAAAAGCATTTGCCATGCAAGACTGATGACCTGTATGCCATCTCTGGGTGCACATTGTAGAAGGAGAGAACTGAGTTCCAAAAGTTGTCCTCCGTATGCATATAGTGGAATGCATGTGTCTTTATAGACACACACACATACACACACACACACACACACACACACATACACTACAACTACTACTATTACTACTACTACTACTTCCAACAACAACAACAACAGATTAAATCTTAAAATAAATAAAACAAGTAAATAAATGAAAAGATGTGAATTAGAGTTGTCCCCAAATGGAATGACAATTGGGACACGTTTTCATGATCATTTGTATGCAAAGGAAATCAACTCAACAGTTAGTGTTACATAGCTCTCAGGGAGTGGCATCTGGACCCCTAGGCCCATGCTTGAGTGAGGAGGTGAGTGTCATGTGATGTTATATTCAGTCCTTTCTAGACACGGATCCATATTACATATGCTCCAATTGCAAATATAAAATTAAAGTATATTTCCTATATCAGTATTCTCAATATGCTTCTTGCAAGAATAAGTGGTTAAATGGGATAAACTAGGGACTGCATTGGTCTTACAGCCAAAGGCTCTCATCTCAGTAGATGGCAGGATTGGGGACAATGAAAATCAAGGTTAGGCCCTGGCTTGGACCCTTCACTAAGTGCCACTGCATAGTTTTCCCAGTTCTACCTCATCTGTAAAATGGGCCAACACAATCTACTTCATAGAATTGTGTAGATTCTATAAAAACACATTCTGTAGTCAAGACCAGTCCTTATTAATTGGAGATGACAAGTGTGATCTCTGTCATTATTACAGTTTTTCAACCTGGCCCTGTAGACTCATTTGAAGCAGTGATTTGGGCCTTGGTGTAGCAGTGCTAGAGCAGTTGTCAAGAATACACAGATCCCAGGACTGTAAAACTGATGGTGATGAGCTGGACACAGTGGCTTGCATCTGTAATCTCAGCACTTGGGAGGCTGAGACAGGAGGATTGCTGTGAGATCAGCTTCAGCTTGGAATACAGAATGTGTCAAAATGTTCTGTGTCAAAAGGCAAATCAACCAACCAAAGAAAAATAAAACTGAAAAAAAAGCCAAAGTAAATAACAAGAAAACCCTCTCAATAATCCCATGGTTTCATTTACGTTTAAGAATGTATCAACTACACTAGGTGCATCCTGATTCTTTCCAGAGAAACTACACAAGGTGCTGGGATCATCTTTTTGGCCAGTCTCCTGCCGATAGTTGCCTGGGCCTATTGTGTTGTATTAGACTCAGCCTAGATTACAGGTGAGTAGACTTTAATTATAAACTTTGGAAAAGCCATCTTGACAGGCAATGGAGAACTTGGTTCTCATCTTTGAACAGTAAGAAGCTGGATATGAAAGGTGCCAACCGAGGTCATTGTTTCTCTCTGCTCAATTGTAATTAAGATACCTAAAAGAGATCTCATCTAATTTCCCTTCCTAGAGTGATCCTTGTTTCCATCTTAGGGTCCTCCTTGTTACCTAGCTTCTCTGGAGCTGTGGGTTGTAGTCTGGTTATCTTTTGCTTTATGTCTAAATATCAACTTATGTGTGTGAATACATACCATGTTTGTCTTTCTGAGTCTGGGCTACCTCACTCAGGATTTTTTTTAGTTCCATACATTTGCCTGCAAATTTCATGATGTCATTGTTGTTGCTAGGGAAATTCCCAAGAATCCACAAGGATGACCCCAGCTAAGGCTCCTAGCAATAGTGGAGAGGATGCTGGAACTGGCCTTCCCCTGTAATCAGATTAATGAGTACCCCAACTATCATCATAGAGCCTCCATTCAATAACTGATGGAACCAGATGCAGAAATACACAACCAAGCACCAGGCTGAGCTCTCAGAATCCTGTCGAAGAGAGGGAGGAGAGAATATATGAGCAAGGGAGGTCAAGATCATGGTGGCGAAATCTACAGAGACAGCTGAACCAAGCTTGTAGAAACTTAAGAACCCTAGACCAAAAGTTGTGGATCCTCCATGGCACCAAACTGGACCCTCTGTATGTGGAAGACAGTTGAGAATCTTAGGTCTATCTGAGGGGGCCCTGGCAGCAGGACCAGGACTATTCCTGGTGCATGAGGAACTTGTTAAAGCCCATTCCCTATGGTGGGATGCCATGCTCAGCCTTAATGCAGGGGGGGAGGAACTTGGTCCTGCCTCAACTTAATGTGTCAGACTTTGTTGATTCAACATGGGAGCCCTTACTCACTGGGAGGAGTGGATGGAGGTGGGCTGTGGGGGGGAGGTGGGGGGGAGGAAGAACTGTGTTTGGAATGAAAAATGAAATAAAAAATAATAAACTTTAAAAATGCACAAAGTTTCTCTGATGTAAACATGCTTCCATGCCACTAGCATAGACAGCTCTTGGGAACCTGCCTAGTTTTCCTTATTTATATGTTGTCAGATTGCCAGAGACACACTTGTGAGGCTTTCTGGTACCTTGGACTTGGTTTGAATGGTAAAAGGGGGCAGCTAGGCTCTTTGTAACCCTAGGGATCCTGGGTTCCCAGGAGAGATAGCAAGTGCATCATCTGGCCCTAGCAAACATAGTTAACTACTGAGTTTGAATCTGAGCCATGCTATAGCTTGGATGTTACTTCACTTCTCTCAGTGTCTGTTTCTTTTCTTGTGAAGTAGATATGATAACACCAATGCTTATCCTCTAGGCTATAGGAATGATATGTGAGATAATGCAACTGTGACTCTCAACACCAGACATGGAGCTAAGAAAGCTTCTTATTTCTTATTGGTGTTTGTTTCTCCCCAGGACAGTCAAAGGCCATTCTGTAGGTGACATGGCTGCAGAACATGGATGGATTCATTGACCTGCATCTTCATGTAGGCCTCTGCTCATGCTGCCTAGCTAAACAGGAAAGGAGAAGAGCAAAACTACACTTAAAACACACACGCACGCACACACACACACACACACACACACACACACACACACACTTCCTTCATTGTAAGCTTTCATGGAGCCCAAAAGCCCACATGTCTGTTGGTCATGCCTAGGAAGCCTCAACTCATGAAGTCAATATTGGAACACTAACATGGAACAATGCATCATTCATGAAGATCCATGAGATGCAAAAATCACACTACACATGTGGCAGGCTGACCTCAGTCATTTTTCTTGTGCCACAGTTTTTTCCTTCAGGTTATAATCTAGGTTCTCTGACAGGGAGAAGCATCTCTTGGTAATGGAAGGTTTAGTTTCTCAGGTTAGGATACCCATAACAGTGGGAATCATCCTACAGCTAATAACTCAAGTGAGAAGCATTTTGCAGCCAAGGGTAGACATGATAGCCTAGTGACTCCTTTAAGGAAAATTCTGAAAAACTCATTTTCTGCTGGTTATTAAACACATTTCTTGGGTGACGCTAACAAGGCAGGAAAAAGGAGGCCATTGATAAAGTCATTTTTTAAAAAACTTTATTTACTTGTTTAATTTGTCACCTGGTTGTCCAGAAGACTCATGAGGGCAGAATCCCATGCTTTTTGATCTATTAAAAGAGCTTAGCATGCAGAAGGCACAGTAAATATTTATGGAGGAAATGGAGCCCAGTGAATCTCTGACTGATGTTCTGTGGAAGAAACTTGGGGACCAGCCATTAACCTGCACTTCCACAGAGTAGAAAGGACCTAACACTGATGGAATGCTTTTGACTCATAGCTATAGAAAAGCATCTGTTGAGGGAAAAACAGGTTATCAAGTCATACAATATATGTCCCAAAGTCCTTATAAATTCTAATGGAGCTGACACATTTAATAGCATCAATATCTCCCTTATTATTATTATGGTCAACTTTGTTTTAATGGAATTTTTGGGACCCATGGTTTATTTGTTGTTTGTTTCTTGGTTAATTGTAACATCTGTGTACCAGTTACTTTCTTGTTATCATTGGAACCAAATATCTGATATAAGCAGCTAAGGCTTATTCTAACTCAGTTCATGGGATATGGTCCCTCATGGAGGGGAAGGCATGGTGGCTTCAAAGGCCTGCTCATACCTTGGAAGTGGGGGTATGCTATAACCCTCAAGGTCTACCTCTGGTGACCTACACACACTAGCTAGGACATATGTCTCCTAAAGTTCTCAAACCTTCCCAAGCAGTGTCACTATCTGAAGGTCTGATTTCCAAACTCACCAGCCTGTGGTGAACGTGTCACATACAAAGGTCAGCAGTTATTTAATCTACCAGTGATGAGCTCTTCTAAAAGGAACAAGCCTAACTGCAATAGCAATGAAAGCAAAAACACTTGGGCTTAGATTTTACCAAGGAAGACCTATAGAGACATTGATAAATGAGACTGAAGGAAATACAGATAAATTGAAAAGCATAATATGCTCATGGATTGGAAGAATTAAGATAACACATTCATGCTACACAAAGTAATCTATTTTCCACTTCAATAGAAAAGCTACTGAAATGTATATGGAACTATAAAAGATCCACAAATAGCCAAAGCAGTCTTGAGGTAAGATTACAAATTTGAAGCCAGCCTAGACATGCTAGCTACGTAGTGAGACTCTGCCTCAAAAAAAGCAAAGCCAACCAAATCAATCAATCAATCAATCAATCAATGAAATAAATAAATAACAAAAAAGATAATAAGGAAAATAAATAAAACGAAGTCATAAAAGTACAGAGTAGAATGGTGCCACGGCCGGTGGACTGGAAGACATTGGAATAAGGGTATAGAATTTCATTTACACAGAAGGCACAAGTTCAAGAACAATGTGGCCAACATGGGATCTCATTAATAACAATGCATCGTATTATTGAAAACTGCTGTGTAGATTCTAAACATTCATACTACAGAACAGTAAGTAGAAGGCAGTGCATATGTATTAGCTTTATTAGCCATCCCGTCATGCATATTCAATACAAATTAAGCGTTGTGGTTTTTTTGTTCTCTTGTTTGTTCACACAGTCCCTGGTACACACATAAGAAAGAAGGGCCATTGGGGCACCGATGAGGAGACTCCTGAAGGTGTCTGGGAGAGGAGACGCTTGTCTGAACTGGTCTGCTGACAGCAAAGATAGATCAGCAACAGGTTGGGGTATGTTACGGCTATTGCAACCCAGCCCCCCAATCAAAACTTCATCCCTTTATGCTTTTTTTTTTTGGTTTTTACGAGACAGGGTTTCTCTGTATTGTTTCGGAGGTTATCGGTCCAGCCTGGCCTCGAACGCACAGAGATCTGCCTGCCTCTGCCTCCCGAGTGCTGGGATTACAGGTGTGCACCACCACCGCCCGGCCCTTTATGCTTTTTATTGTTCCAAGAAATGTGGTTTGTTTTTCTTGAGGGCAGGATGAAGAACTTCTATGTGTCTGCTGCCTGCATCATCTGTCTGTCTCTGTCTTAGCACACACTATGCACCTGAACACTTACTTTTTGGATTAAAATGTTTTGAATTCTATTGGTACCCAGCTCAGCCTGTTTCCTTGGCACCTGCCTGAGCCCTAAAGTGTTCAGGAAGATAGAAGAGGACACAAAATCCAGTGTGTGTGTGTGTGTGTGTGTGTGTGTGTGTGTGATTTTTATGTGCTTCCTGGTTGTTTTAAAAAATTTTAAAGTTATTCATAGTGTTTATAAGTGTGTTTTACATGACAGCTGAAGGTTCAAATGATGTCAAAGTTTATAGAGCATAGGGGAAAGTCCCTGGACACTTTCATGGACCACTTTCAGAGGTAAATCTTCCTCACACTCAGCCCTTCAGTGATTCAGAATTTTGTGGATGGCAGAGTTCACTGATAAAAGTTGTGGGTTGGGAGATGATCTTAGCAGTGGGTGGACAGGAATGAGACTGTCTGCCTTCAGAGTGAGGAAGTAAGCTCTCGTCTCTTCTGCATTCTGTTACGTCAAGAGGTTCTGCTTGGTGTGGGCTTTGATATTCTCTAGCTACTTGGGTCTCTCTTGCAACAGTGATGGGGAAGAACTCAGCTTCTGGCCCACTTTGAATATTCAGTGATGCTCTGTGAGCACATTCCCCACCCCAGGAGCTAGTGGCTCAGTTCAGGAGGTGAGAAATAAACATAAGAAAATGGACAAAACCAACACGAGGACAATGAGATTCTAAACTCAAGCTTCTCAAAGCTTACTAATATCCTGCTGCGGTTTTCATTTGAATTTCAAGGCAAGAAGGCACACTAGTGCATCTGTCCAGTGCTGTGTTACTAGACTTTCTCTGGGAAACTGTGTTGCAGAAGGATACGTGGACTGCTGTCTGTGTACAAGGCTGCTGTCTGTGTACAAGGCTTCTGTCTGTGTACAAGGCTTCTGTCTGTACAAGGCTGCTGTCTGTGTACAAGGCTCCTGCTGTGTACAAGGCTTCTGCCTGTATACAAGTTATACAAGTCTTCTGCTGTGTACAAGGCTTCTGTCTGTACAAGGCTTCTGTCTGTGTACAAGGCTGCTGTCTGTGTACAAGGCTTCTGCTGTGTACAAGGCTTCTGCTGTGCAAGGCTGCTGTCTGTATACAAGTTATATGAGTCTTCTGTATACAAGGTTTTTGTCTGTACAAGGCTGCTGTCTGTGTACAAGGCTTCTGCTGTGCAAGGCTGCTGTCTGTATACAAGTTATATGAGTCTTCTGTATACAAGGCTTTTGTCTGTACAAGGCTGCTGTCTGTGTACAAGGCTTCTGCTGTGCAAGGCTGCTGTCTGTATACAAGTTATATGAGTCTTCTGTATACAAGGCTTTTGTCTGTACAAGGCTGCTGTCTGTGTACAAGGCTTCTGCTGTGCAAGGCTACTGTCTGTATTCAAGTCATACAAGTCTTCTGCCCTGTACAAGGCTTCTGCTGTGTACAAGGCTGCTGTCTGTATACAAGTTATGCAAGTCTTCTGTGTACAAGGCTGCTGTCTGACCCTCACTTGCCATTGCTGTCCCATCTCCCACTCTTCACTTCCTCGAACTTGTAGCTGTGTTCTTAGTTTCCACAGTGGTTCTTGCTCATATCTTCATGCCCCCTGTGCATGCCAGTTCTTCTCTGAAGCCTTCTTTCTCCCCCCTTCCCTTCTGCCCTTGCCTCCCATACTGCCTGCCTTTCTCTCATGATTACTTTTATGACTTAATGCCCATATTTTGTGCAACTTCCTCCAGTGAGGGCCTCTCCTTGATGCCCTTGGCACCTGTTTGGCTCCCTTATTGCATTGATTTGCCATGTAATTGCCTTCTCATTCTGCTCTCTACCATTGTACCATAAGCTCTTATGGACCTTATTTGATCCTTCTTTTTTTGTTTCATTTTTTTGAGACAGGCTTTCTCTGTGTAGCCCTGGGTGTCCTAAAACTCTGTAGACCAGGCCTGGAATTCAGAGATCCACTTGCCTCTGCCTCCCAAGTGCTGGGATTAAAGGTGTACCACCACCCAGCTTCTTTTTGACTCCTAATAGCTGCCAGAATTAGACATGTAACAGACACTTTAAATGTTCTTTCTAAATGAACAGTGTAGGTTAAATATACTAAAGCAAAGCTCCAGACGTTACCAAGTTCTATAATGGGTGTAAGACTGTTGAGACACTAGCATCATGGTTCTCAGAGGTTGGGCTCTGGTAACTCAGTGTGTTGTGATCTCTTCTCAAGATAATCAGTGGATCTGGACTAACATCTGTAATGCATTTTCATTATAATAAAAGATATATTGCTATTGCAGTACCCATTAAAAGCTTGTTGAACAAATCAGGACATTTGAGGAGAGAGAGAGAGAGAGAGAGAGAGAGAGAGAGAGAGAGAGAGAGAGAGAGAGAGAGAGAGAGAGAGAGAGAGAGAGACTTTTATGTGATCTTTGCTCAGTGGCAAGTTAGTAGCTTAGTGAGCAGTTGAGATGGAGACTGATGTACACATGTGAGCATAGTCGGATTGTTAAGAGCCCCTGGCCAGAGCTTTGGTGGGAAGAGCAGTGGATAATCCACACCAAACAGATGCTTTTAAAGGCAATGCAAAATTCTCTTGTGAATTTCAACACTGTTTTGAATGTTTGATTCTTCAAGTCCCCATAAAAATCCTATACAGGAACTCTTAGCCAAGAAAGAACGGCCAGCACAGTCAATCACAAGCCGTAAGTCCCGGGGTGTGATTTGGGGGGACATCAATGGCCTTTTTGTTTCCCAAACGCCTGCCATTTTTTTCAAGATGATCATATGGTAAAAAGTCAAGGGTTGACTTTTTTTATGAAGCTCCTAACCTTCTGCATGTGTTGTAAATATGTCTGCACCCCACTCCCGGCTCTTGAATCACTTCCCAGTAGCAATTTCCACCTGGCTGGTTATAGGTTAGTGATTTTCAGAGAATGATAAGACGAAATGATGTTGACATAGAGTGTTGAAATCACAGTATGAGAGCTTTTGCTGAACTCCTGCCAGAAGTTAGAGTTTAATCACGATTCTATAACTTTTCCATATTCCTATTATTTTTGGACATCCTGAATCTACAGTATCTGAACTAAAATCTTTGATGATGATTATGGTTTTAATTTCTCCTCCAGTCATATAAATTATTGTCCAATATGCTTTGAGATTATGTTGGTAAATGTAATCAGATGTTAGTGAAATATTTCCCTTAAAGACTGTATTATTCTTCTTTGTCTTTGTTGATATTTTTAGTAAAATTATATATTTTGCTAAAGTGTGATACTACCATGCAAGTCTTTATTTGATATTTGAATTATATCTCTTTTCCTTTCTCAATGTCATTTTGTTTTAGTCATGACTTTTATAGATCAGGTATGGCTTGATTGAGAAAATGCAGTAGACATTCTGCTTCTACTGAAAACTGAAGCTAGACCATTTACATTTAGTATGATTTCTTGTCTATTTGGACTTGTTCTAAATATTTTATGTTTTCTGTTCCCACCCAACCTGTTTACATTCCTGTGTTACTCAGATTTTCATGTGATAATGTGATGTTAGAACCCAGTCTCTCCTCAGGCCTCCTCTCACAGATACTGACAGGAACCCTATTTGGACATTGTCTGTAGATCCCCAGCTAATAGACTTTCTGGTGCTGTGACAGTTCACCTGACAGTGTCATATCCTTCTCTCCACTCCTTTTCCTGTCTCCTGTCTGGCTACAGGCTTTTGCTGTGAATGTCTTCCATCCTAAGAAAGGTATGAAAAGAGACTCCCCGCCTTATGGGCTCTGGTTCTCTTCACATACCCTGCATACTGTCTGTTTCTGGTGGTGGGAATGGAATTTTCCTTGAAGCCCCCCATGCTGTCACCCCTCTATCTGATGTTCATGGTATTAATAATGCTTCTAGTAAACCTCTTACTCTGCAGTGATTCATCTCAGTGTCCTCTTGAACCACCCTCTGTATTCAAAACCTAACAAAATCATCTGACACCAAGATTAAACTTTACACCTTTATGATTTCTTTTTGATTCCCTCCTTCCCTCCCTCTTTTCCTCCTCCTCCCTCCCTCCCTCCATTCCTCTCTCTCTCTCCCTCCTTTCTTCGTTCCCTCTCTCCCTCCCTCTTTCTTCTTTCCATTCTTTCCTTCTTTTTTGTTCATGCTATGCCACTCTGTCTGTCCTGGTACTCACTCTTGTTGGACTTGAACTCACAGCAATCTTCCTGCCTCAACTTCCCAAGTGCTGTGGTTAAAGGTATGTACCACCATGCATGCCTGATCACAATTTCTTTTTCTTTCATTTTTGTTTTGTTTTTAATACAGGATCTTGCTACATAGCCCAGACAGGTATTGAGCTCCTCATGTAACTTGTGCTGGCCTTGAACTCTTGATCATATCTCAACCTCCAGTGTACCAGGAGTCTCATTTGGCTTTGATTGTGTATCTGTTCCATCCTACCTTCACTAAGATGATAATGTTTACTAACATTTCTTCTTTATCTTTTCTGCTCAAGTAAAAGGTAGAAATTATACATTATTATTTTAATTCTTACTCTTTTTAGTACTTTTTATTTATTTATTTGTGTGTGTGTGTGTGTGTGTGTGTATACATGTGTGCAAATGCCTGCAGAGACCAGAAGATGTCAGATTCCCCTGGAGCTGGAGTTCCAGGTGGTTATGAGCTATATATGTGGGTGCTAGGAACTAAACCCATGTTCTCTGGACTAGTCACATGTGTTCCTAACAGCTGAGCCATCTCTCCAGCCCCCTTAATTCTTACTTCTAAATGTCTAAGCAATAGTTAATTCATCATTTTCTATGAAATCTAAGGTTTTCCAGTTTTTAGACTGTATCATAAACACTTGGAGATACCCTTGGGTTGGGAATATCTGAGTATGGTCTCAGCCAGCTGGAATAAAGACTTCCAACTGGCTAAAAACTGTGTTTGAGTGGCCATCTCTGGTGGGCTCCCTGTAACAAGATGACAAGACAGAGTGATTTTTAATGTCCTCTTTATAACTGTGACCAAGAGCACAAAAGGAGCACCTCGAGGGAGGAAAGACTTATTTTGGCCCTTGGTCTCAGGCATGCTGCAGAAGTTGCGTGGCAGAGCGGCTTCACTCATGGCATCAGGAGCCTGTTGTGGGCCATGAAGGCTGGCCAGGATGCAGAGGGTGACCAGAACTACAACCGCAAAGGCTTTCCCTTAGAGACCTGCCTCTCCCTACCTAGTTCTTCCTCCGAAAGGCTTCTGAGTCTCCCCAAACAGCACCTGTCCTGTAGCCAGGGAAGGAAAACATGAGCCTGCAGGAGATTCGAACCATCACATCACAATGGGGCCATTTAAATCAAGAAAAGGAGGGGAGCGACATTCTGTGTCAGGAGGAAAATCCAGGAGACGTGTGGTTGACCTGCGAGATGCTGCTACTAACAACTGACTTTGAAAAACATGCTGGCTGACTGCCTGCCTTCAGCACAGGCTTGCCCTGGTTCTCTTTGGTTTCTCTGCTTGTTTGCACACATGTGTTCTGCTGGGGGAGGGTACCAGCCAGGAGGGTACCAGTTCCTTTCTGTAGGTCTCCCAGGTAGACAGAGGAATGCTGCCCTGAAGCTCCCATCTATGCAGTGTGGAGACAAAGGAGATGGGCGTTTCCTTTCCACATTCCGGCCAGTGTTTAACAACCTTCCTTCTTGTACATTTTGTGTTTTGTCTCTCACGAAAAAGGATGAGTAAGGGTTTTGGAACTTCGTTGCGCTTTTTTTTTCTTGTTAAATAACTTTTATTATGTTTGTTTGAGGGCTCCACCATGACATTATGAGATACATGTAGAGAATAAAATGCTTATTATGATGAAGCACATGAAACTACCCATCATACATGGTTACGTTTGTGTGTATCTAACAGTTATTACTGCCACATACATTTTTAAAGCAAAACCTCTGACATAATTCTGTTATTGGCTTTCATCTTTATGCTGTTTGTCAGCTATCTAAATTTGTTCACTGTGCGTGTCTGTTATTTCTGTATTTTTAACAAATCTTTTCCTTGTTGCCTCTCACCTGGGCATCTACAATTTCATTCTCATCTCAGTATATTTAAACCTCATTGTCTTCCTTTTCCTATTACACATGTAAGGAATCGTGTGCTATTTTTTTCCCTGTCTGCCAGAGAGGGGTGTGGGGAGAGGACAACAAGTGTTAGCAGGAGAAAAGGGACTCTGGTTCACTTGGAGGAATGTAGGCTGGCATAATTATGATGGAAGACAGGTACAGATCCCTAAAGGAATTAAAACAGAATGATCACCTCCCCACATACCCACACCGCTCCATCCACCCCCCACACCAAGTTTAGACTTGAAGGATGAAGTTACACCCGATTGGAGACATCTGCACCCTTGTGTTCATTGCAAGCTTATTATTCACAATAGCCAAGATATTCAGTCAGGCTAGGTTGACCATCAATGGACACAACATACATATATATGCACATATATATAATATGCACACACATATATATGCATATATATACATACATATATATATATGAGAGAGGTAACAGGTCATAATTCAGCCTTAAAAAAGAGGATGGTCTTGGCACTTGTCACATAACAGATGGACCTGGAGGTCAGTATACTAAGTGAAATAAACCAGACACAGCACCTCATGTTTAAATGTCTCAAAAAACAAGTTTTACCACGTGGGGTGGCTCAAAGAGATGTCTTAAGCAGAAGACTGAGGGATGGTTGAGTTGGCTCCTTTACGAGTCCCTTCATGCCCAGAGATGCACAATCTGTGGTGAAGATAGTTGCGGTGTGAGCCTGAGTGCCCTAACAGAGCATCTAAAGGCACTTCCCCAAACAAAGCTGTGTGATGATGGACAGCCGCGGTGTTCTGGATATCCTAGAGGGAAGGAAAAGCAGAGTGGGGGCGGCAAGGATGGCCATGAAAGAGGCGTCACAGACAAGGACTGTGCCAGGTGCCAAGAGGAAAGTCATTATGATAGAGACAGGCAGGTAGGTGCCAGGCATAGGTAGGCCTCCATCCAAGATGCCCCAGGCTCCTTTGTAATATCAAGCGGCCTTCTGAGAGGAGACAGCCAAACATAAATTGATTAGGAAAGAGGGCGGTGAAGAAGGTTCTGGAAGAAAACCAAATGAAAGGAAGATGGGGAGGCCCGTTTCCTCAGCTCCGGGAGAGCATGCCCGAAACTAAGAGGGGAGATGGACTTTATAGGCTGTGGGCCCAATGAAGATCTCACCTCTTTAAATAATAAGCCAGGGCCAAGGATGAAGGGAGAGGGTTTGAGCAATCAGCATTGGCAGCAGGAAGAGGAAGCAGTCCCCAGTCTTCTGCAGATTCAGCTATGGTCACTGCCACACAAAGAGAAATAAGATAACCTGTCTCACATGCCAGGGTTTCTAGGGAGTGGCAGGGCAGCAGATAGTTTGCTCAGTTATCCTTCTGGAACACAGGGACCTGTGGAAGTCTCTCGTACCACTCAGATGCCTTTCTCCATGGTGACCTCACCTCACTCCACTGTGCCTTCCCATCACAATGCCTTCTCATCCCATGAGCCTGACTCAAAGAAGAAACTGGGCACCCACAGTGGGCTTCCTTCTTGGAATGACCATCAGCTCCTGCCATGGTCCAGAGGCAAGGACATGGAACAGGAAGTGGGGGAGGGCTGGATACACCCATTTAAATTTGTACATGTGGCATCTCTGGCACTGTCCTCTCCTCTGTAGAAGAGAGAAGGACCGGGCTGTCCCCTGAGGTTCTTGCTGCTTCGAGGGTCCCACAACTCAAGGAACACTCTAACTTCATGTATAGCAGTTTCCAAGCAGAGAAACAAGGGGCTTTGATAACTTGTTGTGGGGAAAGCTCTTCACTGGTGTCCCTGCTTTCTGTTCAAGGTCAACCAACATGCCTTCTTAATATCCATTTTCTTAGCCCCAAATGGGAAGAATGGTTTAAACGTTTCTGTGAGTACACTGATGCTTGAGAAACAAGGCTCTCGCCCTCCTGAGTGTGGATAGCTAGGAACAGACTTCTCAATGGATGGAGAAGGCCCAGGAGGATTTCTTCAGTCGTCTAAGTTCCCTCACCCGAGCGTGATGGTTCAGGAGCAGTTCTGCTGTATGAAGCAGCCCTGCCCAGGGAAGGCTCATGACGCAAGAATCTTTGGGAGTAGGTAGGTACCTTGTACAACAATAAGAGACTCGTACAGTATTTAGTAACTACACTTAAAAACTGCATTTGTCAGACCTGTGAGGTTGTGCATGGAGTGCATGGACACGTGTGGGCACATACTAAATAAAAAGAAAGATCTCAGAAAATTTGTATTTGCCCTTAAAAACTTTGCTAGTATAATTAATACATTTAATTAATAGAATGGTATCCATGGTATCATCAAAACACACATTTCTTTAAAAATTCTACATTATTTGTTGTGTACGTGTGTGTGTGTGTGTGTGTGTGTGTGTGTGTGTGTGTGTGTGTGTGTGTGTGACTCCATGTGCGGGGAGGGTCAGGGACAGCTTGTGGGACTTGAGTCTCTTCTTCTACCATGTGGATTCTGGGGTCCCAGGGATCAAACTTAGATCTTCAAGCTCATGTGCGGGGAGGGTCAGGGACAGCTTGTGGGACTTGAGTCTCTTCTTCTACCATGTGGATTCTGGGGTCCCAGGGATCAAACTTAGATCTTCAAGCTCTGCAATAAGTGCGTTTACCTGCTAAGCCTCTCATCTGTCTCATCAGTAGTGGGGCCGCTGTAAATCCAGGCAGGAAGGATGGCTCCTAGCCACATTGCGTCACACTTTTCCTCATATTGCCTCTCTGTGGGTACATTGATGTTCTATAAAGTGAAGCCAGGTTTTGTGGCACAGGCCTTTGGTCCCAGCTAAGCTGGAGGCTGAGGCACAATGTTCACAATTTCATGACCACCCTAGAAACGTAGTGAGTTCTTGCCTCAAAATAAAAAGTAACAAAAAAATGACAAGAGATATACGTTATCCTTGATTAAATTCCTTCTAACACACACCCCCACATACCAAATTAAACTAAAACATAACAATAAAGTGATTTGTGTTTCAATAAAAGATAGAAAAGCAGCTACTCTAGAAATGTCAGTAGTCACTTTGAGGCATCCCCTGTGAGGCCCCATTGAGGCCACAAACTGCTCTGTGAGCCTCACTCCATTCTTCAAGCCCAGAGTGCTGGGTAATGTAGAGCTTGCACCACCTGCAAATGAGGCAGAACAGCCTGTATTCTGTTTGTGGTTTATTTTTAGCTTTTAAATAAAAGTATCTGTGCAGATTGCATTAAAAATATTGACTTCCTATTTCTAAAAACAGTGATACATACTACAGATGATTAGGATTTATAGTCTAAATGCATAGGCAGCCTGGTTTCCATATCATAAATCTTTGACTATGATTGATCAACCGCCTGTTTCCTAGGTTGAAGCTTATGAGACCTTTGACTTGCGTGATGCATGTTTCCTAGCATCAGCGGTCCCTGAAGTCCAGTGTACACATCTCTAATGGCAGCCCTGATAGACGGTTCTTGAAATATCCAAGTTGTCAGTTACTTTCTGGTGCAGTGCACCAGCGAGTTCTTTTGTTTTTTGACTCCCCCCACCCACCCCCGCCCCAGCTGTCTTGTAAGTGCCTTCAAATAGGAATGGTGGTCTTCCTGGCAATTCTGCAGATGCTTAGGACAGTATGTTGACTATATTTGTCCCTGTGAATTAGTGTACATAAGGCAGACCTACTCTCACTTTGTATGTAATGGTCACACACACACACAAATTCTGAAATGACTGCTCTATTAGGGGAAAGGTTTTTGTTGTGAGTGAAAGAGAGAGACAGAGAGAGAGAGAGACAGAGACAGAGAGACAGAGAGAGAGACAGAAAGAGAGAGACAAAGAGAGAGATCAGGAGCATCTGAAAGAGTCCAGAGCAGAGAGAGAAAGAAATAGACCGGACATAGCCAAGGCTATTGTTAAACTTAAAATTGCAAGGAAAAAGATCAAATCTACCATTGTTCAATTAAAGCAAGCTTTATTTAGTACTTGCCAGGAAGATGGATGCTGGCCAGGTCCATTTGGGATTCCCAGAGAATATCACCCAGTTAGGTCAGTCAGGTGCTCATAAAGGCAGAACCCACAAGTCTATGGTACTTCCCACATTAATCCAATTGAGGGCAAGCATACATCCTGATGTACTTCCTGTCTGTGTACCTCTTGCCTATATCTGATCGAGCACTTCTTGTGCAGTTGGGGGGAAACCAACCTTGTTTACTGAAGTGAAAACACGTGACTTGTTATCTCATATGAACAGCAGCCCCCCAGCATTCCAGGAAGTTGTATGTCCCTAGGCAAGTAGGGCTTACAGGTGAACTCTAGCCCTTGCGCTATCTGTGAGTGGAGAGAGAACTTGGGAGAGGATAGTGGAGATACAGGAGAGCAAGGGCAGGAATAGCAGAGCACAGGGGGCTATAAGGAGGCTGAGTAGCTGGAGGGAGGGAAGCAGCGAACTGGAACAGGCCTGGGATAGAGGCAGAGGTGAGTAGGGCCAGGATACTAGTGCTAGGGCTTTGAAATGTATATTGGGTCCTTATGAATAGGCACTAAAGGAGGCCAGCATAGGCTTTGAAATCCAGCCACAGGTATATGTCAACAGACAGTCATGTGACCTTTTGACAGAAGCTAGGGAAATGATTCTTTTGGGGGAACAGGAGCCCTTTTCACAAGTTCCTGAGGAATTCTGGCTTTTATCTGGTCATCAGAAACCCTTCTACAGTCCAGCTTGAGTGCATATAACATATGCACTGTCTGAAACCTAACGATTTCCTGTTCTGTCTTCTTA